CAGCAGGAAGCTTGGACCCAAGCTGTATTCTGCTGCTCAGCTGCCTGAACTGCAGCCTGGCACAGCAGAAGAAAAGGAAGGCTGGGTAACAAAAGCTTCTGAATTTTGGGGATTTTAACACAAAGCCCTACTTGCCATTCACACAAAAATCAATATGCTTTGTCAGTTTCTTAGAGTGCAGAATCAGCTGTGAGGAGAAGCCGAGGGGATCTCCAACATCTAGCAAATCATTGTGAAAACAAGTACAGCACCAGGACAAGAGTTTTCCTTCACTATGCTCCAGAAAGTCATTCTCTTACTTTAAAGAGCCTTGGGAAGACATCTGTTGGCTGCCCTCGCACGACAAACAAGCGAGAGTTGAGTTTCCTTAAACTGTTGTCCAGATCTTCCAGGGACTGGAGCAGAAATCTGCAGAGAAGAAACAGCAGCAGTTAGTGTCAGCCTGGTAACAGCTAAAAGGCAAATGGGGAGGGTCTGCACAGAACTCCAGCAAACCTGCATCACCAAATCAAACTGAAAGGGAGGATGAGAAACAGAAAACAGGAATTTGTATTCACCCCTGGTGTGTCTACCAACTGCTGTGAGACTGCAGCACCAGCCAGCTCCCAGCCATTCATCTGCATGCTCTGCTTGCCCAGATCCAAGAGGTTTCCAGGATTTTCCTCTTCCTGCAAACCCCTTCCCATGTGCTCCCTGAGAGCTGGCAGCACTCCCCTGCCAGCAGCTATCTCCACCTTAGGACATGGAGAAAAGCAGACACCTAATTCCTCACAGTACTTCCTCTCATGGGTTCTGGGGCAGGAGGGATTTTGCATATCAAGTAGAAGGACATTGATACACCACTCCAAGGCAAGCAATGAATTACTACAAAAACTGTGCAAGTTTCACACTTCTGGCAGCAGACAGGCAATGTCTCAGCAGAGGAATGTGTGCTCATAACACACCAGCAGCACAAGACTGAACACCAAGATCTCCCAAGGCAAGAATTGCCTGTACTTGGCTGCAAACAGAACTGCAATTTATCTCCCACCATAAAGATGATCTCTTCCTCCCACCCCAAAACTGTCAGAAGCCTTCAGGTGCTTTCTGCATTAATGGTGTGTCTTACTGATCCCCCACTATGCTACAACACATCAAATCTATCATCTTTGCTTTCAAAGCCACACTTCACCTCATCTATATTTTAACTCACTTAGTTTTGTCTATCTCTGGAAAAAAAGAGGAGCTTTAAAACTTGAATCTCTGCCACAGCGCATGGCACTGCTGGCAAACGTGCACCCCTTTTCCAGTGAGCCTGCCCACCTCTCCCTCTCCCTCGTTGCTCCATGCCCACCCTGCAAGATGTGAGTCTCTGCAGCAGCCCCCTGAGGGGCACCCAGAGCTGAGGGAAGCTAAGCCCCAACTGCTCTGCAAAGTGGGGAGCTCCTCCCTCCTCACCCGTGCTGCCCAGGATGTGAACTGAGATGGAGCTGGCTCCCTCTGCACTCCCCGAGGGGAAAAAGGGACTGGGGGTTGACAGAAAGAAGGGCCCAGTGTCACAGCACAGATGACTCAAAACCATCTCTGGGTAACCCAGACAAACCACTTCCCTAAACTCAGCCCACTTTCCATCTACTGAATGGGAATAGCAGCTTTCTAAGGTGTTCTAAAAATTAATCAAGGGTTATTAGCCCCATATGGCTTACCCACACTGTGCAGTGAAATAATAAGGGATTTTCAACATGGTTTCTGGGAGCTAGATAAAGCACAGACATTTGCTTTTGGAACATAGAAATCTAAATACAAGTAGCTACATGAAAAAAAAGGCATCAGAACAAAGCCTAAGTTCCTAATGGGAACAAATGGAACTCCAGTAAATGGAAATAACTTGCTAACACGTTTCTGCCTGAGCCAGGGGTGCCAATTTGTGACATTTGCAGCAGGCACACACTTCTGAGAAAACATTGCTTTTAAAAAACCTCACCTGCTCATCTATTCCCTGACTACAACATAAATAAAACCATTAACTGGGATCTGCTTCCCTCTCTCTGCAATGTTGGTGGAAATAAACAAGGATTACGTGGATCAGGAATTAATCTTTTGGGGGCACTGCTTTAGTTGTTCCAAATGAGGACAGTTACAGCACGTGAAAGGCATTTTCTGTCCACTGCTGCCTGGACAACATCTGGTCTCTGGAAAGATCACTTCAGGCTAGTAGGATATTAAGCTGTAGGAGAATCTAGAATTCTCTGTAATTTAAACATCTACATTGTAGTCAATTTTTAAGCCATTCTCTGCTGTGGGTTCTAGAAATGCTTCAAAATCACCCATGTCAGCCCATTCCTCCAAGATGAAGCTGAGGTGCAGAGCAGAGGTGATCAGCTCCAACTACAGCTTCCTTAACGCAGAGCCACGTGATGTGTCAAAGAGCACTCCAGGAATTTTTAGCCTGGTGGTTGTCCTGTCCTTCCCACTGCTCCCCAGGGGGTAGTGCAGAAGCAGGGGGAGATCTGCTTTGCTTGGATGCAGCGGAGTCTTAAGAGAGGTGGATCCCAAACTGGATCGGGTTTCCAAACGCCGAGGCAGCTGAGACCTGATACAATAGCGTTATGTAATGTTCCTGGCTATCCGTACGCCAGGTCTTGCTCTCTGCCCAGACATGACTCACACCACACATTTTTCCATATGGTCAGGGAGGAGATGCCCAAACAGCTTCATCTCCACCTTCCTAGCTACAGCCCAAGCGTATTTTCACAAAAACCCGAGGCGTGGGAGGAAGGCAGGCGTGTGCACATGCCCACGCACACTCGGCAGCAGAGAGGCAGAGGGAGGCGTGGTGCAGTCACGCAGCTCTGAGGATTCTTTGCCCTCGTCTCTAAATCGAGCGAATAGCCACGCGTCCATCGATCGCCGCTCTCACGTATTCGCCCAGCTTGAGAAAAAAAGCCTAACGACATTACATAAAGCCGAAACCCCCCTCCCACACCGCTGAGAAAACCGCGGCGAGGCCAACTGGACCAGGAAACCTCTCTCCTGCACCGGAGGAGTGGCGGGAGCGATACGTGGACCGTGCCGGATGAGGCAGCGCGTTCCTAAAGGCCAGACCGTTCCTCCCCACCGCCGCGGCCCACTCCCGTCTCATCCCCGGGCCCTCAGGCCCTCACTCCACTCACCGCCAACGGTTGATGCCCACAGCGGAGGAAGCGGCGAACCAAGGGTCGAGGATATAGATGCAACGGAGGGACGCGGCATCTCTTAGCGCTTCCTGCAGCGCCGGGTTGTCGTGGAGGCGAAGCCCGCGGCGGAACCAATGCACCGAGCGGCAAAGGGCCGGGACCGGGAGCGGGGCCGGGCCCTG